GTGTTCGGTGTTTTACTTGTTAGGATGGAGTAGGGTCTTCTGAGCCTTACATGCTGGTCGGGAAACCAAATGTCTCCAGTGGATTTTTCTCCTGCCTATTGCAGCTGAAATCCGGCCTCTGTACCCTGGTACCGAATTGACTCTGAGACAGAGTTTTGGGTGAAGTAGAAAAGAACAGCTTTATTGCTTTGCCAGGCAAAGGGTGCCACAGTGGGCTAATGCCTTCAAAACTGTGTGTCCCAACTGGGAGGGATTAGTGAGGAGTTTTATAGTAATGGTTCAAAGAGGGTGTGATCAGTTCGTGGACATTCTGAGTGGTTGGTGGTGACCTTAGTGGGAGTCTGCATCGTCAACCTTCAGGTTCCGACCCGTCTGGGGTCACGCGCTTGTGGGCAGTAGACAGTTAACTTCTTTCACCTGGTGGGGTTTCAGTAACTGCAAAATAACTCAAAGATACTGTTCTGTGTATCACTTGAGGGGAAAGAGGGACCCTGCCCCAAGGCTGCACTATTGTCTCTTGACTGCGCCTCGAATCCCCTCCCTTCTCTGATTAGCAACTGTTTGAACCTACCCTCCGGGAGGCTGAATGAAGCCTATTTCCTGCAAACAAGAAAATGGGGACACAAAAAGACTTTTGTGCCCAGGAGCCCCACACAGTTCTGCTCTGTTTCACTGTCTACAAAGCGCTCTGAATAGACACGAGAATTTGAATAACTGAAACTTGGTAGTGCACTTCAGATAGTCTCCGTGATCTTCATGGTTCAGAAGAACTTTCTAGAAAAAGTTAATCGCATATTTGAGAAGGGACTAAATCCTGCAGGGTTTTGGCAGAGATGAGGTCAGATCATGGGGGTGGGAAGCCTTACTCCTGGTTGAGCCTTACACTGACTCATATCTTAATTGAGCTTGGTGCGATGAGGATGCCACATTACCAGTCCCCCAGTTTGAGGAGCTAGGATTTTCCCTTCTACCCCTCTAGGCCACCAAACCCCAAATTCAAGTTCTCACGGATTGCATTTGTCCTCGGGGCAAAAGCAGCTGCAAGATTCACTGAATTCTCCAGGCCCCTCTTTCCTACAGATTTCAACCTAGTAAATTCCTTACTATTGTATCTGAGCTCTTAAGAAGGTTTTTTTAAAAATGTACTTTACCCAGCAGTTTTAGTTGTTTTCCGTGGGAGGGCTCTTTCAAGTAACCTATCCCACCCTGTTCCCGGAAAGGAAGGATACCTTGTTTGATTTTCATAGTACAATTGATTCACCTGAAGTTTTCCTCCTTACTCTTGCTTATTATCTGAGGACTCCAACAAGATTATCCTCCCTTACATTCTGTCTTGATCACTTGTGTATCTTCAAGGCTTGACAAGTGTGCCTGGTACAATGGTAGGCGTCGAATAAATGACTGTGAAAGGTAATAATGATAATAACAGTGAAATAATAATAGAAAATATCTTAAACATGGGATGCATGCAGTGCCTTAGCTGTCAGCTCTGCACCAATCTCTGCTTTTCCAAATCATCTGACACGTGCTAGGAGATTTAACTTACGGGAGCACCACGTGCTCTCAGCTTAAAATAGCTCCCCATTGCCTTTCCCGTGGAGGCCATACTTCTTAGCCTGGTATCTGTATGAGTCTGGCCATAAACTAATTTTTATTCTTTTTGTGTCCTGTGTGCTCCCCAAACCAGTCTACTTGGCATTTCCCAAACATGCCATGCATCTTTGCTCTCCTAATTCCTCTGCCCTGGCTGCTCTTCCCATCATCTCTTTTGGGATTGACGTGTGCACACCGCTATATGTAAAATAGACAGCCAACAAGGACCTACTGTATAGCACAGGGAACTCTGCTCAGTACTCTGTAAGTACTCAGTACTTCTCCCTACATGGGAGAAGAATTTGAAAAAGAACAGATATACGTATAGGTATAACTGAATCACTTGCTGTACACCTGACACTAATGCAGCATTGTTAATCAACCACACTCCAGTATAAAACAAAAATTAAACAAACAAACTCACTATTCCTGTGACACATCATTCAAATTCCACTGCCTCTAAGATTTCTTCTGTTGTTCCCTGGCAAGCAATAACGCCCCTTTCTCTAAACCCCCAGGGTGTTTTGGGGTCTTCCTTATATCTCATCACGCGTGCTTTGCGTTACAACTACTTGTAACTTATTTACATGGATTAACGCTTCCCCCAAAACATTGATGGAGCAGACCCTCAATAAATGTAAATAGAAAAATGGATCGTCAAAACAGGCTTAGATTGTGGACCTCAAACATTATCAAAACAAGGGAATCTGTCCACCACAGCCAGAAATACCTTATCTTTCAGGCTCTTAGAGATTTCTGAATATGGTTAAGTGGGGTCAGGAAGTAGCCATGCCCATGGTCACGTTATTTAAAATGATTATTCTCTAATTGTTGGACACCTTTTACAGAATGGTTGGGGACCTGGTGTGCTTTTTTTTAAAAAAAGTTCTAAAGCATGTGGAGAATTTCATCAGAGGACTCTCTGTGTTGAAGGAAAATAAAACTAAACGTTACTGCTAGTGACACCCACACCAAATTGACGCTTCTTTTCTATCAGCTGTTCCTGTAACCTTTTGAATTTCTCATTTGTATTATTACTCCACTAAATGCCACCACCTTGGAAAACAGGAACCCAAGATAGCGTTTCTCTTGTTTCTAGAGGCTAGGTTCTAAAGATGGAAAATTCCAGGTTATAAAATTGGGCATTTAAAATCCTGTCTTCAACATATTTTTTCCTCTGAAACAGGAGTTGGCAGCTGTGTTACCAATTATATTAGTGCAACAAACAGATTGCATTATCGTATTTGGTTGACTACTAAGAGTCTTCTAAGTCCCGGAATTCCCTGGCGGTCCAGTGGTTAGGACTCAGCGCTCTCACAGGCAAGGGCCCAGGTTCAATCCCTGGTCGGGGAACTAAAATCCCACAAGCTGCACGGCACTGCCCAACCCCCCCCAAAAAAAGAATCTTCTAAGTCAGAAAAATACTTGTGGTGGATGTATTCCCTCTGGTACTCTTTCAAAAGACTTATAGAAAGAGTAGGACTACTGCTAGATGTATTCCGACTAATACCAGTACATGAATCAAGAAGATTTGATTGGTTAATGTTTCGTTTTTGGTTTTTTGGTTTTTTTTTAATTTAATTTTTATTCTATATTGGAGTATAGTTGATTTACAATGTATTAGTTTCAGGTGTACAGCAAAGTGATTCAGTTATACATATACATATACATATATCCATTCTTTTTCAGGTTCTTTTCCCATATAGGTTATTACAGAATACTGAGCAGAGTTCCCTGTGCTCTACAGCAGGTCCTTGTTGATTGTCTATTTTATATATAGTAGTGTGTATATGTCAATCCCAAACTCCCCTCCCCCCCTTTCCCCTTTGGCAACCATAAATTTGATTTCTATGTCTGTGAGTCTGTTTCTGTTTTGTAAATAAGTTCATTTGTATCATACTTTTAGATTCCACATATAAGTGATACCATATGATATTTGTCTTTCCCTGTCTGACTTACTTCACTTAGTATGATAATCTCTAGGTCCATCCATGTTGCTGTCAATGGCATTATTTCATTCCTTTCTATGGCTGAGTAACATTCCACTGTATATATGTACCACATCTTTATCCATTCCTCTGTCGATGGGCATTTAGGTTGCTTCCATGTCCTGGCTACTGTAAATAGTGCTGCAGTGAACATAGGGGTGCATGTGTCTTTTCAAATTATGGTTTTCTCCAGATATATGCCTAGGAGTGGTTTTGCTGGATCGTATGGTAGTTCTATTTTTAGTTCTTGAAGGAACCTCCATACTGTTCTCCATAGCAGTTGTACCAATTTACATTCCCACCAACAGTGTAGGAGGGTTTCGATTGGCTAATTTTTTTAAATACAATTAGTTTATTGATTGCTTACAACCAGTACTGCCAACCAGCATTACTTCCACTCATGCATCATTAAAAACAAAAAGGATATTTCCTTGGTATTTTCAAATGATGCATTATACATTAAACAAAAAAAGTTAGAACTTAAAATGCACCCTGATTAATTATGTAAACTGGTAATTTTAAAAAAAAGCATAACTAATAATTTGGTTCCTTTCTTCATAAAATGGAAATTTAAATATTTCTCCCGATAGTCTTGAGGTTCTCATTATGTTACGAGTAGTGCAAAGTGTGGCACACAGTTTCTTCTAGAAAGGTGTGTCTTACACACCTTGTTAAACAAAGGAAATGTGCATAACAAGATGCATATAGTCAATGCGTGAATAGAAAGCATGTTTCAAATACAAGGTAGCCCCTCAGGTGACCATTGCTATTTGGGTTTTGCATTATCATTTATGGCATTATAGATTAATGACACATAACATACTTTTATACATTTTAACCCTGAAGAAAAATAATTGTTGCTTGAAAAAAAATTATTCCAGGTAGCCATTTGGTTTGTATCAGGAGAAAGTGAACCTCCAAGAGTTTAGTATCTGCCAAGTCTGGAATCATTAGCTCGAGTCAGTAAATCCGATGCGCGACATACTTCACAGTGACTGTTTCCGAGTCTTGTCAATGCCTCTCCTCCGCAGGGTGCTGGGTGCAGCATCTCCGGGACACCCTTGCATGTGGTTTTCCTTTTTCTTCTTTTTTTTTTGCTGGATTAACTGTATTACCGTATTATTTCCTCTTTTTCACCTCTTCTATGGCCTTCCATTTTATTTTATTTTATTTTATTTTATTTTGGCGGTACGCGGGCCTCTCACTGTTGTGGCCTCTCCCGTTGTGGAGCACAGGCTCCGGACGCGCAGGCTCAGCGGCCATGGCTCACAGGCCCAACCGCTCCGCGGCACGTGGGATCTTCCCGGACCGGGGCACGAACCCGTGTCCCCTGCATCGGCAGGCAGACTCTCAACCACTGCACCACCGGGAAGCCCTGACCTTCCATTTTAATCATTCATAAGTCCTTTCAGAATATCTTCAGAGAGTTCCATGAGGGGACGTTCTGGAGATGGAAAATCCAAGGGAGGAAGACTGGATATTGGAATATCCTTGGCTTTCGCCTTTTAGAAGTCTGGCCTTTTCAGCCTTTAGCTGTTTATTTTCTCTCCTTAATCTTTCATTCTCAGCCACGAAGAATTCCACATGCCTCTTCGAATCTGCAATTTGGGTTGCCTGCTCCTCTATAATTGTTTTATCATTTCTTGGGGCTTTGCTTCCAATGCACAGCTCTGTTGGCTCACTCTTCTGCTGAGGTAAAAATAGTAGTGTGTCTGGATCCCTGTCAAAGACCCCCTGAATTTCAGGCAAGTGTTTCTCTGTGGAAGGGCTGTAATTCTGAGAGAGCAGGGGGCTCTGGCTGTCTGCGTCCTCAGCAGAGGGTCTGTGAGATGCCTGAAGCTGGGCAGCGGCATCCTTGTCTGTGCTCTGCTGGGCTTTCAATCTTTCCTCCCGCCTTGCCCTCTTCCACCTCTCCTGGATGAGGAGAAGCTGTTTCATGTGACTATCCCTTTGCAGTTCCAGTGATAAATGAGCCTGCTCAGACTGTGTCAGCTTCATAGCTTCAGAAAGATACGCTGCAGCCTTTTTGTGACAAGAAATAGCCTCTTCGTATTTCCCTGCAGCTACTAAACGATCTGCTCGTCTGCTCTGATGAGCCAGGTTGAGGGGGTCCTTCCATTATTTCCAGAGACCCCGGGGTAAGCGGCGGCCTGAGGAAGGGGAGCGAGGGAGCCCGGGCACATGGAGGGTAACAGCTGGAGAGCGCGACGCAGCGGCTGCGACTCTGGCCCCACTCCGCGCCCCGGGAGCCAGCGGTGGGCGCAGAGGGAGCCGGCTAATGTTTTTAAACCTCCCTTTTGTTTAGGAGAAAAGTTGGAGGAATCAAAGAAAACCCCCTTGGAAGCAGTATGTTTTGAGTTAATCTGACAACTAAGGGAAAACAAATGCTATAAAAGAAACAGTCTTACGGATCACAAATGGACAGCTTTAGGAGAAGCTAAAGAGGACATACAAAAGGTATTTGAAATGAAATTTCAGAGAGAAAAACTCTCTAAGGCAGGAATGTCTTCGGCCCAGAAATCTAAACTGGGTGCCAGGAATCTGGACAAGAACCCAGGAGGTCCGAAGTGAAGGAATTAAGGGCTCAGTGACTGGGGGCTGCTGAATGATACTTGAGAGAATTTCAGTCTGCTTAGAGGTTAACTCAGGTAATACCTCACAGGATCTCAAGTCTGGCGTCTTGTTGATAATGTTGGAGGTATACTGGTGTGGAATTTGTGGTACCCAAACAAGGGCGCGTGACTCAAAGCCACTCTTAACCACAGCCGCTGCCAGAAACCCAAGCCTCTGCTCACCCAGAATCACACCCACAGACTGCTCTGCGCAGCCCCCATCAGACCCAGTCCCCAGCCAGGCCTCCTCTCCAGGCTTCTACCGCCGCCTCACTTTGCCATCAGCAGACCCCTCAGCCCCGCCCCGCTCCTTCACAAGCACCTGGCTCGCCCTGAGAATGTTCCAGTACAGCCCTAGCAACTGGGGCTGTTGGTCTCTCTCACCTCTCGGACCTCAGGACCACAAGCAAAAGTTGTGTTTTCCCGGGTCACCAGTGCTACGTGCAGACCATGTCTCTCCCTCTCTGCTGAGTTAAGTCCCTGCATCTCTTCCATGCCACCTCCTTCTGATGTCCGTCATGCATGGACTTCCAGAAAAGCACCCCACTCCACACACATACACACACACACACACGCACACGCACACGCACACACGCCCCTCACATCCAGAAGGCTTTACCTCCCGGCTGCCTCTCTGCCTGGCCACTCAACTCGTTCAGCATTTTTGGCCTCTTTCAAGGTTTGTGGAGATGACACATCCACGACGCTGGCCTCTCAGACCCTGATTCCTCAACAGACCAAGCGTCTGGGGAGCAGCCACCCCCCCCTGGATTAGGTCAGCATATTTCCTCTGGGCTCTAACCCTACATCCCTCTCACCCATCACCCCTCCCTGGCCCTCTGCTCCTGTTCAGAAGCCACCACAGGATCCTTTAACTCCACCAGCAGTAGCATCCCCTGGGCGTGCACTTGGAAGGGGTTTCCCTCCTAATCGGAACCTTGTCATCCTTCCCCCAACTCACCCCCCCTCCCCCGCCCTCTCACCTCCCTTTTGTCTTGAAACAATGCTCTCTTTCTCCTCCTCGGGACCACTCCCAGTACGGTTTATGCTGGAGATGGGTCACCCTCATTCCTCAGAGCCCGTTGTTATATTTTCAGGGATTCTGCAAACTCTTTGACATTGTGTCGGTGACTTGGAATTGGCTGTGTGGACAGTATTTACACCAATACAAATGAAGGTTTCGGTTTCCAAAGGGGGTTTTGTTAAACATCTATCAAGCTCATCACTGGTTTATCCTGCATCCTCTTGCCGCTACCGATGACACGTTTCTCTGCTACCCGCCTCTCCCCCCGACACTTTTGCCCTCGTTTGAGCAAAACTTCTTGAGAGCTGCCCACGGTGTGACTCTTCCTCTCAGCCATTCACTCCTCAAGCCCACTCCAGCCTTGCTTCTGTCCTTGTCAGAGCTGCCGAGCTCCTCCAGGTTACCAATCCAGGGGATACTTTCTCTGTTTTTGTCTTGCTTGACCTTCGCATCCATCTTCCCCGCCCAAGTCCTCATCTTCAAACACGTGCTTCTCCCGGCTCCTCTGATGCTGCACTTTGCTGAGTTTTGCTCCAGCTTCTCTTGCTGATCTGCAGAATCGATTGCAGGCTTCTCCCTGTTTCCCTTAGACACATGCATGCCTCCTAAATGCTGGCTTCCAGCGTGGCTCTAGGCTCTCTCCTCTCCTCTGCCCTCTCTCCCCGCGTGACCCCCTCCTGTCTCATGACTTACATGCTAAGCGTTCCCAAAAGGATTCCTCAGACCGCTCCAGCCTCCCGACCCCTCCGTCTAACTGCCCATTGACGACCCCGCCAGGAGGCATGTTTTGCTTTAAAGGTGATGTGTCCTAAGGGCAACTCTGGATTCCTTCAGCCCTGGTAAACCAGTGCCTCTCCCAGTCTCAGCATCTCAGTAACTTGTGGCACGGTTCAGCCATCTGCTCAAACTGGAAACGTGGCCACCAGCCAGGATCCCTCCCTTGTGCTCACCGCCCACGCCCAAGGCAGGGCCTGTTGTTTCCACGTTGTACGTCTCAGCCCCAGCCTCTCTCCACACAATGCTCTGAGTCACCCGCACGCCTCGCCTCTCTGTGCCCAGTGACGTTCTTACTGGCTTCATTTCCACTGCTGCCCGTGCTTAACATCGTCTCCGCAAAACTGCTGGAGTAAACTTTTAAGAAAGAAAATCCTGGAAATTAAAACGGCTTTTTGACCTAAATGGGAAGGAAATCCAAAAAAGAGGGGATATATGTATACATACGGCTGATTCACCGTGCTGTATAGCAGGAACTAACACAACGTTGTAAGGCAGCTCTACTCCAATAAAAATACATTTCAAAAAAGTTGAAAGGAAATAAATAAGCATATTTCAAATGCTTAAAGTAATAAAATGGATTTTAACAACTTCAGGGATACACGGAAAAATAATTATTTCACTATGGAAATTGTCAGTTGCAAAAGTGTACAAAATTAACTACAAATACAACATTTTTTTAAAAATAAATTTATTTTATTTCTTTATTTTTGGCTGCGTTGGGTCTTCATTGCTGCACGCGGGCTTTCTCTAGTTGTGGCGAGCGGGGTCTACCCTTTGTTGTGATGCGCTGGCTTCTCATTGCGGTGGCTTGTTGCGGAGCACGGGCTCTAGGCACGCGGGCTTCAGTAGTTGTGGTACGCGGGCTCAGTGGTTGTGTCTCACGGGCTCTGGAGCGCAGGCTCAGTGGTTGTGGCTCGCGGGCTCTAGAGCGCAAGCTCGAAGCTGTGGCGCACGGGCTTAGTTGCTCCGCGGCATGTGGGATCTTCCCGGACCAGGGCTTGAACCCGTTTCCCCTGCATTGGCAGGCAGACTCTTAACCACTGTGCCACCAGGGAAGTCCCAATATTTTCAGTTGTGTAGAAATGAACAAGTTTATACAAGATTTCAAGGGAGGGGTGTGGGAGGGAGGCTCAAGAGGGAGGGGATATATGTATACATATATCCCTAGCTATATTCACTTTGCTGTACAGCAGAAACGAACACAACATTGTAAAGCGATTATACTCCAATTAAAAAAAAAATCCATTTCAAGAGAGAACATATAACAGAAAACTTGGACGGAAATTCATTTGATGGAAATTATTCATCTTTTAAATTTATAGAATTTGCATAGGCACCGTTTTATCTCCTTTCATTTAAAGAAATAATTTCTGTTACAATAATTTAGGCTTTGAAATTGTAGCTGCCATTTTAAAAACAGCAGTACATGCAAGCAGAATTTCCAGATTCAAAGCTTAACAGGATTTTTGCCAAAGGTCACCAAAGCCTTTTGCATATAAGCTATCAAAATAAGGCTCCTGAATAAAAGAACTGCCTGAAATGATCTAATCAAGTAAAAATTGTTCAACTAATGTTCATCCTTTGCTAGGATATAAAAAGAAAATTAAAATCTCAGAATGGTTTCATATACCTATGGACTTAGGTCAATTTACTTTTAAAAACAAATGAGCTACCCTCCTTAGCCTTTCCTGTACTAGCCTGGAAATTTAAATGGCTTTTAACAGTTTCAAGGATACATGGAAAAGTGATTCTCTTACCCTTGCGATTGTCACTAATTTTTCTTTTGAACTTGCAGAAGTTTCCCTATTAACACGAGAGACTCCAGAACCAAATAATCTTTTAAAAATGGAAAACAGATTGCTTTATCACAATGCCTAAAACCTTCTCATTACATCTCAGATAAGATCCACATGGCTTTCCTACGAGGCCCTGCGTGGTCTGGCCTTTCCCTTTCTCTCAACTTTATCCCATCCTCCTTCTTCTGGAACTCCACCAGCACCAGGCACACTGGCTTCCTCTGGGTCCCGGAGACACTCTCTACTTTTCCCGTTAGTGGTGGTGGTGGATGTGGTGGGGAGTTTTGGTTTTGCCTCAGAACCTTTGCACAAGCTCTTTCCTCTGTCCAGGGACACATTCCCGTCCACCTTCTGCCGACTGCATCTCATCTTTCAGGGTTTATCCCAAATACACACCACCTTCCCGGAAAAGCCTGGCAGGAAGAGGGTCCTGTAGAGCAGCATGGGCACATAGGCAAATAGTCAGCAAATCATCTCTCTTTAAAAGTAAATCAGGGATTTCCCTGGCGGTCCAGTGGTTAGGAGTCCGCGATTCCACTGCAGGGGTCCTGGGTTGGATTCCTGGTCGGGGAGCTAGGATCCCACAAGCCGTGCGACGCAGCAAGAAAAAAAAAAAAAAGTAAATCAATATCTTAAATTTCCTGTCTGGTTGGTAAAGTAACACTTCCTGTCTTGTCTCTTCATCAATTCCTTGAGGGGTGGCTTTGGCTGAGCACCCTGGGGACAGTGGTCATTGGCAGAGAAGCTCTGTGGGATCAGCTCACATTCTTTCAGCTGCCAGGGCCTTGCTAGTGTGTGGTTGGACTTTCCAAGCTCTGCTTTCTCCCCTTGACATGTGTCAGTCAAGCCCCCTCTCTTGGGTCAGGTTCCCTGCAAGCAGATGGAATTCTCGTACAAGTGGTAGCCTGGGAGAGTGCTGTTAGGAGGGATTTGTAGGCAGGTGAGTGAAATAGGAGAGGGAAGGGGGGCAGCTA